CAGACTAACGAAAAATACTATCAAAAAATACATATGTAACGCTCAACTTAGATTATTTTCGATGGTTATAACTGAACACACTTTAACAAAAGGTAATGTCTAATTTGATGTGCAAATAAAGTATACAAAAGAGACTCCGAAGGATTGTTCAATGGCGAAGCTTTACCTGTCCAATTTATGGCTACACAAGACTGAAATCCGTCCTCTAAACTCCAGAAATGTAAATACAAAATATACACTTTTATTCAAAGCTAGAGTATAGAGCAATCCATATCTCCTATATAAACCCATGTCATAGCTACATATTCATGAAACTGATCTACACGGAGTATCATACTCTAAGCCTAGCCATTATTTGTATGCACACCTGACTTACGCATAACTTTCACAAACACTCACATATGCATATGGAAATCAGTATGCTGGAAAACATATTTTGCATAATATTTACAACATTTTGCTGTTGCTCATTCAAAAGAGTAAAAAAAAAGCAAGTATAAAATCATTTCATTGAATAAATCAAACATATATGTAAATGTTAATCAACGACACGAACGTTTCGCAAATATTATATCTTTCTTTAGATGCTTTATTTTCTATTCTAGTATGTACCATGCTTTTATTTACTTAGATCAACGTTTGTCAGTCTGGTTTTACTTGTCTCTATCCTTCTCTCTCTCGATGTTGAGCATTTAAAATGTTTCGTGTTTCGTATTAATTCTCATTAATGCTAATCTGAATAATCACAGTTCCACTTATATCGTCGTAGTATAGAAGTCAACATGGGATTTTGTAACATACTTAACATGGTTAGAATCACATCTCCTTAGTTTAATAATAAGTAGGGAATACTTGATCACGACCAGATAGACTTTAAAACGTTATCGCCATTAGTTAAAGGTAGATATTTTGGCTTTTGTCTCCTTTGGATACACACCACTACAGTTAGGGTTAACAGTGGTTGAATAATTGGAAACTACTGGTCAAGCAGCCCTGTTGGACACTGAATAAACATTTAAAAGTATCATGAAACAGTAATTATTGAGAGGCTGAAATTATACCGACGATGGTATGCTCTTTATACACAATTTCAATTAACTGAATCAAAACGAAACTATAATCTAAAATCAAATGTAATCACGTTTGACTGATAATTAGATTATCATCCTAGATATTATGTATGAAACAAAATACTAGATTCTAATATTTAAACGTACACTGTATCACAGTGATTCGTAACTCTCGGAGAAACTTGTACAGATAGTATTTTGAAATATTGATGCAGTAATCACATCCTGTTCAAGATGGTAATTCATCATAACGTGGAGCAAGGTAGCGTAGAACAGGTGTGGTACGTCAGAATCACGTAAAAACATTAATGTGATATTTGTAACGGGCTGAACTTTAAAATATATACTTACTCTCGACATCGGGTGTCTAGTCCGTAATATAGCCTTAAATGTTTGCGTGTTTGTATACTAAAACACGCACACATTTGCAGAACGTTTCGGTATGAGCAGTTCCTTGAGTTTATAAATTCTGAAATATACGCTACTGTTTATTATGTTCTACTTGAATACAAACGTTTAGGATAAAAACTACAGCAACAAAGACAGAAATTATCATAGAGACTCTTGCACGTGTTCATCAAGTATTGTTTTCTGTACGTTGCCGTCAACGTTACTGTATAGCATCTATTGTGAGTCTGTGTTAAAGAAAATAAAGAAATAACAAGGAAGAATTAAACGTATCCATACTTATATAGGTCACAGAGATTCTCATGTGTAGAAGAACGTGCCTAGTTGATTACGTAGTAAATATATATAGAGTTCTTTAAATGCTTAGTTAATGGGCCGCCTTTCTCATCGAGCCGAAAACCAGTCCCATCACTTAATTAACAAGTGACTGTAATAATACAGACGGACGTCATGAATCAATCACTTTTCCAACTAACACACACACAGCACGCAGCAGTGATCACCATCAGCTTAACACCCGTAGTGGCCCTTCACTTATGTAATTCTCATCTAAGCATCTGAATGCATGTTTTTCTATACGCTACGTATTAACGTGTTGGGGGTGGAAATGAATACCATTCAAAACAAGTTCATATTTACAGGTGTTGTTTGTGTATGAAACGTGCTAAAAACGATTAGATGGTATTTATCGCTGAGGTTTGCGAGTGGATAAATAATTTTGGAAATTTCGATGCTTGTATAATTAAACCTAAAAGTTAGCACTAATTTACGCGTTGTATATAAAATTTTAAGTTATTTTTTTATTAAAAATTATCTTAGCTATTACAAGTACCTGATTTCACATGATTTGTTTGAAAAAAGTTCATTACGAATCTTTTTTACATTACATTTGTTACACGAGTGGTTAACAGAGAAAAAATTCCAAATCATATTATAAAGTGCAAGTTACATGCTTCAAACTTAATGTGTAATATAAAATAGAAAAATGTAACTTTTCATAGCTATACAAGTTTTATATATTGTGGTAACACAGATTTCTTTATAAAAGGATGAAAAGCAAAGCCTGCATATTTCAATAGACTCGCATCTGACTTGGAACAAAGGTGGTTTCTACTTCCAGAGGATGGAGTTGTACCATATAAGTATGATTATTCAAATGCTGTTATAGAACACAAAGGCTAGCTACAATATGATTTACAGTACAAAAAAAGGAAACTTGATTTTTATTATTCATAAAAAGCTGAATTGAATATGATTTGTGGTTTTTAGTTACAAATTAAAATCATATGGCCAAATGAATGTATATTATAAAGATTGAAAGTTATTTCTGATTCTAGATTAATTGTATATTTATATTCAAACCCAATTAAGTAAGTAAACCGATTTCTAATGCATAAACATTTAAATTCAAGTGTTACGGCCTTAAGCCTATAGAAGAACAATTCACTACAAAAACAAAAAAACACTAATGTTTTTAGTATGAGGCTACACAATAGGCTATTTGTGTTCTATCCATCTGGTGATAGAACTTCTGATTTTAGTGTTGTACTTCCACGAACTTACCGCTAACCCACCGAGGAACTACTGAAAAAGTAGCAACATACGTTATAAAATGAAATATTTTCCGTATTTAGGAAAATTTTGCAAATAGTTTCCGCTAAACTTACGTAACTTTGTAAAAAGTTCCTGAAAATACGTTGCCTTAACGTTACTTTTTCCCGTAGTTTTATGAAGCTGTTTATTGTTTTGTAATGAAAAGTGAATTTCAAATGGAAAAATATTCATCTGTTGGGTCTTCGAATTAAGTAGTTAACTTAAGACTTAAAAAAAATTATATACTAAAAATTTAAGGGAAATTCTCAAAAGGAATAAACTAGGAACCGCCATTATAACTGCATTTATTTTCAAATTCATTTTCTAGCCAATAAACAACATGAGAAGGCAAAGTTTTCATGTCATCTGGAAATGAACAACTATCATTTCAAATGAAACTTGATTGTAAATAATCTATTTTGGAAAAGTTACAAAAATATTCTTCAATATGAACGGAAACTACCAATCCGAAGAAGACATTATCAGAACATACATAAATACTTACATATTTCTTACTGTAGTCTTAAGTTTATAATAAAAGCCAAGCCTGGCCAAGTAAACGTGCAGCTATTTAAGTACTATTTATCATGCTGTACGTTAATACCAAAGTGAAATTAAATTTCTTAACTTCTGCAAAAGCTTCACATTTTCTCATGAAAGTAAATATTTGAGTATGTTAAAATCATTTTTTCATGTTCATCGAAAGCAAACGTTTTTGTAAACTGAATAAAATTATATATATATGTTCGCTACGCCTCCAATGAAACATAAAGAATACGTGTATATATACAATATTTTCAGTTATGAGAGAGCTTTGTAAATTTCTAATGAAAGCAAAATCTTTACATATGATATTGTGCATGCTTACTGAAACAAAAACTTGCAAATCCGAAAAACAAACTTTCATATTACCAATAACAAATGTTAATGCCAAATGAAATATAATATCAAAAGTTTTAAACATCTGAAAACATTTCTAATCAAATGTTTCTATTACTATCACTGGAACATGTAGTAATAAGGTCAAAGGCAAAAGAAAAAACTGGATGTGATCTGTACCAGTACAACCAACCGTATAGATGTACATACTTAATTACTTGTTTATTTTATCCCAAATAGTTTGTTTCGTTTGTTTGTGTGTAATTAAGCACAAAGCTACACAGTGGGCTATCTGTGGTCTGCCCACCCCATACCGCTGTGCCCCTGGGAGCTTATCCCAAATAGAAAATCAACATACTGTAAAGTGAGGTTCACATGTGCATCTGGCTTTTACCTCAACGATTATGAGAACCTGGTAAGACAGCGTCGCAAAATAAACGTATTCGTGTTTGTACATATTTCAGTTGAAAATAAGAATTATTTATGTTTCAAAATCAGCAAGAGAAAAATGTATGATATGATGCTTTATTACAACCTTTAAAGTCGTATTTGTAACTGAGTATTTAATTTGTTGGATGAGCTGGAAGTTTTTGTGAGATATGTGATAAATTATCACACACAAACAACTTTATATGTAACAGTTTTACATTGTGGCATTGAATCTCTTAGTAACTGCATGTGCCTAGAGTGTAGCGGAGAAAAACGTTTCGTGCTCTAGCATACAGACCGAAACGTCGTCTACTTCTAAACTCCAGGCAGTTACAATTTATAGAAAACACAATGATAGTAAAATAGTAAAACCTACTTCGTTTAAATGATCTTTACTTATCAAATCTGTGTAATCAGTTTAGCAAATACTGTGACAAATTTTGTAAACCGAAATAAATATATTTAGTTATTTGAGGGATTAATAAGTCAATGTGCATTATTTAATTTCTGACTTAACATTGAACCGAATTTGGCTTGCTTTGGGCTTATTAATATTTTCTAACATTTATTGATGAAGAAACTCAGTTTACCTTGTCGTACGTTAATAATATATAATCTTACTTGAAAAAGTCATTTCGACAGTAGAGCTTTCCGTCCCTAGAGAAGCACTTTTCCGTTAGGTTGCATTTACATTCGCAGCACTGGACGCATTTAGTGTGCCAGGATCTGTCCAGAACGTTCAGTAAAAATCGGTCCAAGATGGGGCGATCGCACCCAGCGCATTGGACCATCTTCATAATGTTTGTAAGAAGCTTGTCTGCTGGATTTTGTTTTTCTAATTCAGATGGTGGTTGCCGGCCACCTTTTACCCTACTTAACACAGTACAGCAGAGCCTGTTAAGTCCTCGAGTCGCGATGACGACTGTCAGATCAGCCTACTCCGAATCAGAAAGTTGAGGCTTGAAGGTAGTCTGTTCTCGAGCCTGGTTTCTGGCCGATATGATTTTGCGGGCCAATGTCCCAGAGCTCGGAATTCCTTATGCAGTTTGGTTTACTTATTCGATGTTAACAAAATGACATCAAATTTTCGAAAGTTCACTTGAATAAGGACAAACAAATCAAACGTAGATAATAACAGGCATCTGAACTAAGAAACGAAATCTTATATCTTCTGGGCGATGGTGCTTTTCTGCTTTGATTTTGGTTTATATGACAATCATTCTTGTTAGTTCATCATTAAAGGTACACGTGATTTAGAAACGGCCACTAGATGGGGCAAGCTGCTGAACGATCGAAAGAATTGTTAGAAGACAAGACCAGTGTGTAGTGGGCCTTGGATCTAGTCCAGTTGTGAAGCTGTCAGATGATTATAAACAAAGCACAAGGGCCCTAAGAATATAACGCTGAGCGACACACATCTGCTTTCGTCCTCAGCTGCCTTCGCTACTCATACACCGCGCCCTACGCACCGTCAAATTTATTTTGCTAGTCCTGCCATGGAGGCGGGACTAAGAACTGTCTATCAAAAGGATGGTTGTCATGGAAACGTGTTTACGCGTGGATACCACGCTGAGAGCGGAGTTTAGAATCAGGCACCCGACCGCTCAGTGTTTTCCAAGGAGGACGGACTTGGGTCAAGTCGGAGGCCCGTTCACCGCTTGAACACCAAGGCAACCAACCGGTGAAAGTTGCTTTGAAACTATTAAGGAAGTGTTTCAGCACAAAAGAAAAGATAAAATTTCTGTCTCTAAAACACCTGTTTAAGCTTAAGAATTAATTTATTAATAAGGCAGAGCTTCGGGTAAATAATATCAAGTAGGCTAGAGTTCACAGTGATAATTCAAACAGTTCTTGGACAAATAATACTTTAAAGAAGTTCACCATTTCATTTTAATGTGAATTTTTTTATAGATGTTTACTAGAAATATGTCACTCCATCAAGACAGATCCTTTAAAATACCGAACAAAAACACTGTCCAAAGTTAACTTCAGTATACACACACATAGAATACATATGAACTAGCCCTACATTCCAGTTCAGAGAACGTGTTTTACCGGTTATTACACTATGTGGTAGGAAAAGGCGATGGAACACATATTAACTAGTCATATGTATCTAGCTTCGGCCCCATGTTTCAATTCAGAGAACATGTGTTACCAGTTATTACACTACGTGGCAGAAAAAGGCAATAGAACACTTATTAACTAGTCACACGTATCTAGCTTCAGCCCCATGTTTCAGTTCAGAGAACGTGTGTGACCAGATATTACACTACGCGGCAGGAGAAGACGAATACTACTACTACAGGTGTGATACAGGATACCTAAGAGAACAGGTACACCATTTCAGACTCATTAACTGAAACAGACTGTAAGGTTGGTAATGGGTTTACAAATCTATTTCTGTATTCTTCTTAAAATCGATTATGTTCATGCATATAAACGTTGCTCATTTTGAAAGGTTCGTTATTTCTTATTTTTATATATTCCAATAGTTCACTTTCTTAATGTAACACTCTCATTTATCCATATATACTTCTTTTCTGTTTTTGTTTTGCTCGAAACTTGTTGAACAGTTAGAAAAGGGTTCCTTTAAAATTAGACAATATGTAAGCCTGTTTTTCAGCAAACTAATATCAAAATACTTTATTCAAGCTCACCACTCGTCTTACAATACAATACTGATTCATTTAGTTTTCAGTAAACATGTAAAAGGTTTACGTGACATTATATCGCACAAAAAAAGTTTTTAAAGATATAATATTTCTCTGTAAATTTTCTCCATGGCAGTGTGAAATATTGCTTGGCTAACCAAAAATATCATTTTAATATTATGACAATTAGTTAAGTTCGGATTTTAAATCAATGCTCTGAAGCGATATCATTTTTTACCATCAAGAAAATTAAAAACAAATGTTCTAAGAGCTATATATATATATAACCACATTATACTTTGGGCTCAATAAAATTTATTGTAACATTTTTATTGTTTAGCAACCTGATAATCATTTGTCTTTACGTAGATCAATTTCCTTCATGAAGATCCCATAATGACTCAGCTGAGAATCTACTTGAGCACTTTGTCGTGACCGTGTACGAGAAAGCACTTTACAGGCTAACGTGGGAGCCTGTTTCGTGACCTACTTTACGTTACAGGTGGAAGTAGGATATTAACAAGCAAGTATTGTCTGGATGCCAAGGTATTCCGCGAATGAAAACGAATCAAGACAGAACAATTTCTACCTTTTACACTAACGGTATGCAACCACTACAGACAACAGTTTGTTATGCGAGCACAGAACTTCACATGGCTGCGGGCAGAACTGAAAAACAGTCGCACAAACGGTCGTTGCTTTGGCATGGTGCCCAAGAGCTCTCGGCTTGGTAGCCACGCGAAACACTTTGGATACGGCAGACTCGCGTGCAGCCAGTGGTCCAAAGAGCAGACCGCACGACTAGTGATGCAAACTCTGCTACTCAAGACAAAAGAACGGTAGTTGTGAAGTTTCCCACAGTATACAAGTATAGAAGACTTGCCAATGTGCTTCCAGGAGGGCTAGTGATGCCGTCATTTACCAAGATAGGAAACACAGCGTGACACAGATGTGCATGTACACAATTCAGTGAAGGCCGAGCCTAGTTGTGAACAACCCATATGTTGTTGTGTTGTTTTGAACATTTTCCTGTGTTATGTAACATACAGAGGTATACGGTTCTTGCATGGAATAGCTTTCAAAATTTAGAAACGCAGCGGATGTAGATACACTATCGGTTTTATGGGTCTCCACACACTACTGAACACTGTAATAATTTAGCTAGAAATAAGGAAGAAACAATTAACTATTAAACACTGAAGTCAATCAGCTGTAGAACTGAGATACTTAAAATGCGCGGCCTTTATTGGGAAATAGGTGGATGGATGTTGTGTTAAATCATAACTCATCTGGCTAACTTATTGTACCTGAGACGCCAAACGTCCATCACCGCAACGGGACAGTGCACCACAGTTAACCAGTTTTTTTTTTCTTTAAGGTCTACATTGAAAGTCGCCAAAGTAAAGGTGCTTGTTCTTACAGAAATTTTATGGAAATATACACATTGATCATTAATTAATTACTTACAAGCTGTTTTACTTTTGAAACAGTATTTGCCGCAATTTAGAATGAATGAACCTTGAAAAGAGACTTTTTTACAGAAGCTTAAGTTGCTTGTTGAGCCTTTCAATATACAACTATTTGATAGAACTGATCGAGTGAATGACAAAATATATTTATATAATCGTGGAATGGCTCTATTTCTGAATTTCTCAGACTTTTAGATTTTTTTTAAAGTTCAAATCGAACCAATTTTCCGATATTACACCTTAAAATCAAAGAAAAGTAATAACGTAGGTTCCCTTCATGGAACTTGTTATATAGTAATCACGTGACTATAAGGAAGCAATCTGTCACAATTACCAGTAGGAACTTGAATGAAGGAACCTGGCTTCAAATGAATATCCAGCACCTATTACAAGATACAAGTGCCCCTCAGCTTACATTTCAATATTTTTCGTCGCCAAAAAGTAGTAGGAGAAAAATCTTGTTTTAATAATGATTTGTTAATAATACGAACTGTGTACGTATTACTAAATATATAGTTACGGAAGAAATTTGAGCACTTCGTAAATTTAAGGAAAAAAAAGATTAGATGCAGAGATGTCAAGCCATCATTTAAGTATGCTATTTAATACTGAAGCAACTTACATATTACTCATTCTATTCATTATTAAATTAATTTGTTCATTAATCATTATGATATTAAAGTAATACGGATATATAGTTAACTTATTTAATATAAAATACCATGAGTTGATTTTAATTATATACATATGTACTACTCGTTAGAAAACTTTTTCATGAGAGTGTGTGAGGGACAACCCCCTTACATAGATAGGTAAAGGTTTCAAATATCATTTTACCAAAATTATCTAATTGAAATTCTCAATTATAATTCATTTTATTGTTGTGGGTTCGTAAGTATACTGAGTTAACTATGTATACAATACCACCTTCTCTAATGTACATTTCTCTAAGCTTAGTATTATACAAAACAAGTATCTGATAGCTAGAAATGTAAAAATGAAAATAGTTCCAACTTCCTTTTCTGTATGAGTGAATTAACTGATTTGAATGGCGTTTTAGAGTATGAATAGGTCCAAAAGGCAGTGGTTAGTACATTTATTTTTTAATTACTTAACTTAATGTTTACGTATTTGTTATTTGTAACATATTTATAACACCAGAATTTAATTTTCAAATATTTTATGAGTTTATATCTTATTAAGAGAGCGACGACAGAGTGGCTTAATCACGTGTTGACATCGGATTTACTGGAGTTTCAGACAAGTGTTTAAATCAACACTTTTGGTAAGCCTTTGCAAATATTTGCGCAGGACAATTCACCAAGTACGTGTGTCACTCGGATATATTGATGCCCTTGCATTTAAGTTATAACTATCTGCAATACGCAGCAGATTCAGAAAATATTTCAAGATAGAATGAAATGAACTTTGGCGGCAAATAAAATCACTTGAACATAAGTGTAATCAAAAAATATTTTACAAATGAAAGTGCTGATGTTTTTAGCTGCTATGCATGTTTACTGTGACTTTTGGCTGCTAAAACAGGTAGGAAGAAAAATATGCCTACACCAAAGGAAGACTTGTGGAGAGATTCCATGTGAGATATCCCACAATATTAAAGTACTTGCACGCATGAATGATCATTCATATCATACATATTCAAAGGAGATAAGCCGCCAGCTTATATAACTTGTACAAATCTTTGTGTCATCCATAAACTTCAACATGACTTGCAATCCAAGGCGAAGTAATGACTAGTGTGTATGTAACCTTTGTCTAAGAAAGAGGATAGTGCAAGTTCAAGACCTGTTCGTGAGAATGTAAACTAATCGCAGAACACCCATAGAAAAGTTTGTAAAGATTTAACTGAACATATCTGAATATAGGAATGTTCTATTTTAGTTATAGAAGATTAATCATGTCATTTTGTTTTAGCTGCGACAACTCACTTTCTTACCTCAGAGTCTGTCTAAGTCTGAACTTTAAACATTAATGTTAAAGGCCAAATTGTTATCAGTTTGACTGATAAAGGTCGTACTCTTCAGTAATAAATTCCTTAAATTACTTGCACTTCATATGGTGCTTGTCCATTACAATCAAAGGAGAACTTTGATATCCTTTGATATCCTAACGCATGATACCATGAATGTCATGTACAGTTCTTTACCATCTAATATTTCTTTGTTCTTGGGTTTCTTTCACTTATTTACCAGCAACTTTATTAGACTTCCTTATTGCCAAGACTGGAAAAACTTTTGCCTTTGGTGCACACTGTGACCTGGTACAATGTTCTAGTACTTAATAT